GACTTTATAAGCATCAATAAGTTAAATATTTGCTAGCGGGGAGCAAAGGCGTATACTCTAAAAAACATTAAAGTAATAACATTGGCATGTCAGTGCTGTGTTTATAGCGAGATTCGGGTTTGTCAATTTGTATATATAAACGTTTTTCGTATTCTATATTGTAATTATTCGGCCCTAACCCCTCTAAGCTGTACAGATTCAGGACTTTTGGAGCGGTTGTTAACAAAGTTTACATTTTCGGCAGGCTTTGTACGTTCTAAAAACCGGATCGAAGCGGCTCTAAAGCTGTTAGTATAGTTTTATAAGATTGTATTACTAAATAGCAGAGTGAAGTTAATCTAAAAGGTAAAATAGTAAGGAAGTTGTTTTTCATTCCAATTAATATACTGCGTGACCTCTAAAACTTTTTAAAAAATAAATTATGGAATAAAAAAATTACTTTTGCTTAATCATTTGTTAAAATATTTTATAGGTATTGATTGATAAGTTTTCCAGCCCGACTTGATCAAAATAACCAAATGAGTTACTAATCTTATCCTCGTTAAAAAGAGAAGCAATCAGAGTTAAAGGTGTAATTAAAATAAATACACACCCAACAGAAGTAGATTCCATCTTTTATAATTAATTATTTTATTAAATCTTTAAAAAATGAAATATCCTCTGCCGTATTAATAAGCTAAAAGGTTGTAAAAACCACTTGAATCTTGAGGATCTAAGTGAAATTATAAAAATAAAAACAAAATCCTTCATAATAATAAAAGTTATTTTCTTTGCCCTAACATTCTTATGAAATTTCCAGTTCTTCAACATATATACAAATCTGCACAGTTAACAACCAAAGATTAAAATTAAAAAAAAATAACTGCAAACTAAACAGTACAGTTTTTCCAAAAAAATTAAGTTTGCTAATTACTGGAATAATTGCAACTTCTCTAAAACTTTTAATATCTCCCTTTACTTCCTCCCAGACGCACTTTTTATGCGAATATGAATATAAAGTTTAAAACTACTAAAAAAAAAACCTTTTCTTCAAATTTTATGTTTTGTGTTTTCATGAATGCTTGAATTGAAAATGTACGAGCTAAATTATAAGTACACTTTTACAGAATGTTGAGGAAAATGGTAGAAATAATTTATTTTATTAAAAAAAAATAAAATTGTATAAATATAAATCATGAACCATCGTTGTCTAGAGGATTTAATTGTGATTCTGCAACGGCCAGCTTTTTAATAATAAACCGTAAAGTTTTTTGCATATCTACATAAGTTTCATCACTTTTATAAAAGTAGTTAAAAAAAAATTTAACCAAGTAACTAAGAAATTTACTGGTCTTTATATTCTAAGTCGTTTTCTATTTCAATAATAAAGCGCTCATGAACACGCCGTTGTTTTATTTTTGAAATGGCAACAGCAATTCTCTTAAGATCCCCCTATTAACTCACAAGCAAAGTTATTATGTAAACCTTTCAACTGTAGATGAGAGCAAAAACTTTTTAAGTATAGTCCGTCTTAAATAATAATATTATTATAATAATCGCTTTAAAAGTTCAGAAGATATTTTATTTGAAAGTAAAAAGCTACTTTTTCAATATAAGGCAGCAAATTTGCAGAAACGTTTGATATATAACTGGAAAGTTTTTGATCTTTAGCCATCTTTATTATTAAAAAATATCGCAAAATAATAAAAGTACAAAAAGAAATACTTATTCATTAAGCTAACCCATACTGTTACTTCATTCTTGTACTCCCGGCTGAAAAAATCCTCTGGATATACATTTCGAAGGTACAAAATCCAATTTATTATTACATCTATCAATTCCTTAAGTAGATGACAATTTTTTCCTTTAATGTATATAAAATAAATACCGTTCAATGAAAATTATAGTTTAAATTTTAACAAAGTGACGCAATTCTAACCAGCCATTCTATACAGTTGAGGCGGAAGAGGGTTATAAATTTGCAGATAGTACTTAATATCCGTAAATTTTTTCCACCCCTGTATTTTCTAAAGACCTTCAATTATAGACCCAAGTTTATTCCGCTGTTAATAATAAATTAAATTACGGTTATAAAATTATCTAAGTCATAAAAGTTTTTTTTCTCTCTACTGTAATAAATTATTGTTATCACTGATTTTTTTTTGATAAAGTTAGTCATAACCAAAAGATACACCGTGGTGTTGTCTGATCCAAAATTACTGATATTTGTAGCTTCGTCAACAGATATGTTTTAAGTGAACCGGAGAAAAATAATAATACTAAAACGGAGGGTATTACTATCCCGATAGCAATTTTTTTTTTGGAAATTTGTTATATAACTTGTTGCTTTCATGTTCCAGTAAAATATATATTTGCAAAAACAACTAGTGTATTAGTTGTCACCTACGCAGCTAGTAGGGTGGGAATTTTTGAATGTAAGCCAGTGTCTTAACTTGACTAACGCAGAATATTAGGTTGGTAAATTGTAAGAGAACAAAAGCTACCAATGAGAAACATAAAGACAACCCCCATCCTTCATTTCTTTATTTCATTCTATTAAATTGTAGTCCCCATGACTCAAGTGTTATACTTTCTGAGCTTCATACCTATTAACAAAAACCTTCGTAGGTTCCAATTTTATAGATAGTGTTAGATTCTTTAAAAATGTAAATCATTCTTTCCTTTTCCCAAACAAAGTTTACACTTATTTATAAAGATAAGAATATATTCTTCTACTCGCTATTTCGTATTTACCTTGATCACTTGCTTTTACCAGTTGATTTTTATCTTCCTTCTAACCTTTATCGAATTCCCGAGGCTTATAGACAAAACGATTTTTTCTATTGTGCTACATTTAACCTATTTACTAATAATTATAAACTTAATTTACAATAATTCAGGAAAAAAAGCATTGTAAACAATGCTCTATTGGAACGAAGCAAGCAAAGTTACTTAGCAGTTTTCTAAAGTAAGATTTTGCATCCTTAAATTAAAGTATTTGTATATGTAATAGTTTAAAGGTTTTTAACTCAAGCATTCAACTTTTTTTAATAAGTTAGGGTTAGGGTTAACAATTTAAGAGAAAATGCAAAGAACCAGCAAAAAAAAATTTACAAAATTGATAAGCTGGAAATTATAGTTCTTGATGAAACAACATATATAATAAAACTGAAAATTAATTTTCTTGTGTACAGCTGCTGGCCTGAGGAAGGCACCTATGTAACCGGCTTGTCCACCGCAAAATTATCCTCAACTAATCTTCAGAGTGGGCATTAATAGAATGCTTGAACGGTTCAAAGAAAATATTGCAAGAACCTAGAGAGCATGTAGTCCTTTGCGCCTTTCAGTTATTCTCTTGTTAACGAAAAAGGATTCATTTATATTAATTTATTTAGCATTTCTTGAGATCGGCTAATGTTATAGTTACTTTTCTCCAATGAACTAGCTAGCTATATAAGCTCTATTTTAATAGGAAATTGCGATTTTTATTGTTAATATATTAATACTATTATATCTTTTTATTATTTATCAGTAAACCTTTATTTGCGAGTACTCCTATCTTCATGAAACTTTTTTATTTACAATACGAAATCTCGAGGTCTTTCTTGCTGTTTTTTTTTTTTTCAAGCAAACTATAAAGTTGTGCTCTAATCAACTCACTCAAACTCAGGTTCGCGCTTCTCAATAGCTCCTGTTAGATGCTCCTAGTGCGTTTAACTAAAACTAAATGCAAGTGTTGTACCTAAATGCTTATTGAATAAGACCCTATATACACTATTTTAAATTTATTACTTTAAAAGTCTGTTTAATGTAAGTTCATACGTAAAAATATCGTGTGGGTTTTATAAGTTTGGTAAGTTATTTACAATTAATTTTTTTTGAAGGAAAAGAAACAACCTGCTTTTTATGGTGGCAGTGCACAATTTTACTAGTTTAAAAAATTCTAATGGATTATTTCTATTTAAAAGCTTTCTGCTATCCTATAATTTTTTTAGTTATTTTAAACAGTGCTTTTAGTAATTTATTAATTATTATTATTATTTTTTTTTATAGTTCATATCAACGTTTTTATTATGATAAAAAAGGGTCGCAGTTGGTAATATTGCACTTGTTTTTTTTTTCATTGTCTTCAATCTATTTGAAAAGAGGAATAGAAAATAAGATAGGAACACCTACGTTACTATCTTTCGGTTACTTTTTACAAATCTCTTTTCCCCACTGCCGAACTCTCGTTATTCTTGTTTTTTGTGTGTTTCTTTAATTCTTGCTCATGGACACTTTGCAGAAGAAAGGTTTATGTATGCAGAAATGAGTTAGGATTTAAAAAAAAAATTTAGCACTCATTTATTATAAGTTCTTAAATATATTAAGTGAATATGTAATGTATTATAATAATATTAAAAACAGTATTAAATTAAATAAGCCCCACGGCAGTGCGTGGATGGGCGTTTTTAAGTCAGCCTTTTTTACGTGCCTACGCTCTTATTAAAGGGGCTTTTTTTGACTATTTGCTTCAGACTTTTTTTATTCCGACCTATTTGTGTTGGTTTTTATACAAAATTATTTACAACTGCCTATACACTAGTCCAGTTTTTGTTTTATAAAAATTTACATTTTCATCACCCAGACTTTTGCTTTTGCATATGCCTCTTTTTATTGAAGAAACTATAAATAAACAGAGACTTTTATGCGAAAAGCAAGTTAAGCGGGCGGTAACAAAGGACGCAACTGTTAAGTTTTTTCTCGATGAGCTTTCAAAAAAGGGTTGTTCCTTCGACATTAGCAAGATTTTATGTGCTCCTTGTGGGAACACGGAAGGTGGCTTTAAAAATAAAATCTTTTTTAACTTCTTTACATTTTCTAGCAATAACAATTTATTTTATTGGTGAGTATCATTTGCGCACATAAGTCAGAAAAATATTTTATTTATCGCTATTAGATTATACAATTTAAAGTTTACTTTTATAATAATAGTCTAGAAGCGGGTATGTTTTTAGTTATAATACCCCTTTTTTTTTACTAGGTAACGTTAAGTGTGCAGGTTCTTTCAACTTTGAAACAGCAGAGGTATTCACCCCAGTATAAGTTTACTTGGCTTTTATAACTGATAAAAATAGATTAAAATCTGTGATAATGTTTTGTCTTCGCAAGATCACGTAGATAGAACTTTGGCCCACGAACTTATTCACGCCTTCGATCATTGCCGGGCTTACGTGGAAGAAAAAAATGCTCTGCACCAAGCTTGTACTGAGGTATGTAATTTTTTTATTTAATTTTTGTTTAAATAAATTTCTCTCTGCCTCCTTTCATTTTCTATTTTTATATTTATTTTAGTTATTGTATTGATATTTATATTAAAAAATAATCTTTATAGTTTCGTATATATTTACTTGGACATGTTATAGTTTTTGTTTTGATTTTTTTTTTAAACTGCACAATATCTTTTAAACAAATTTATGTTGCATTATTTTAATAGGTATTGAAAGTATTTACTTTTAATACTTATCGCTGGAGAACTATGTTTTTTTTGTTTTATTATGTTTCACAAACTTTATCTTATTTTTACTTTAAAGTGAGCGCGTTAAAAATTTATAAATTAAATTTTTTTGGTTATAATAAAGGTTTACCTTTTATAAAGCATTTTAAAGTATAATTTTAAAATTTTTAGCGAAAGTTATTAATAAGGTCAAAGTTACTTTTGGATTATATATAGAATTTTAAGGTGTTATTATTGGTTTATTTTGAGGCACGCTTTTATTAATTAAAAACTAAACACAATCTTTGAGGAAATTTATTTTATGAATTTTTTAATAAAAGTTAAAAAAAAAAGTTGATGTTCAGTAGTATTTCGTTAGGGTTAATATTTATGCTTACTAATTATGGATTTCTTTTTCATTAAATATTTTGTTTTATTTTCTAATTTTTTTTATCTAGAATTTACTTTTTACCTGAAATATAACAAGTAAAAATAATAAGTTCTTCCTAAACGTTAAAACTATGTAAAAGTTATAAAAAAGTTTTAAATAAATGAAAAAATCTAAAATTTACCTTTATAATGAATACAGAAACTTTTAAAAAATATGGTAATAAGTAAAGACAATAATATTGTTTTATTACTAAAATAAAATAAAAGTTTTTTATAGAAAGTTAAAATTTTTCATAGGAAAACTTTAAAATTTACAAACCTAAAAAATATAACAATAAGTAAAAAATAAAAAATTAGGTTTTACAATTAAAATTAAAATTATTAACAAATGGAGAATGAAATCAGGATTTAAACGAGAAATTTCAAAAATTAGTTAACGTTAGACAAATTTTAACTTTACAAACAGTACACGACTGGCACTTCGCTATTGCACCAAATCATATTGCAGTCATTAAAAATCTTAAAAGCGTGGTATAAAAGTGAAAGAACTTTGCCTGGAAGATTTTTATTTTAAAAATGTACAGTATAAATTAGTACTTCTTGCTCTATATAGAATAAATTTTTTAGGAAATTCTTATATAAAAATAATTATGTAGAGGTTTTTTTTAAGGTGTTAAATTTACCTAAATTCGTCTAATCCTTATACCTATATTATAAACCATTTTATGGTGATCTTATAATTTTTTTCTTGAATATTATTTTTATTTATTTAAGTTAGTTGGGATTTTTATAAATTTGAAAAGTTTCATATATTATTCTTAATTTTTGAACAATTCTTAATTATTCATTATTTTAATAAAAGATCTTTTTGTATTTATTATATTTTTGTAAACTTGTCACTCAATATGACTGCTTTCTTATTTGCTATATATTTTTATAAACAGTTTTATATCAATTCTTTTTTAATAGTTTTATATTTCAATTTTTTATATTTATTTGGGATTAAATAGGTGAGAACAATTTTATTAACTTGTTAACTTTTATTTTTCTTAAGGGATTCTTATAATTTTTTTTATAAATTTTCGAAGGATGTTGATTTTTTAATTTACAGCTATTTTTACTTATTGTTTGCATCTGACGTTATATTAAGATTCGAGCGCATAACCTCAGCAACGAGTGCCGCTTTTTTATTGAATTTTTACGGACTGGCAAACTTAAATGGAAAAATGGCCAAAAAGTAATTATTATCACGTATCTTTGTTTTTTACTAGTATTTATTTATGCTTTATACTATTTTTAATTATGCAAAAAAAATTTAAAACTATTGATTTAAAAATTTCTTAGGAATGTGTGCGGAGGAGGGCCCTACTATCTTTATACGGAAGCCCACACTTTTCTAGAGAAGTTATTATTGTTATCCTTATTTTTATTTTCATTATTATTATCATTACTATTAATGCTAGACCGCTGAAAAGGCCGTAAATCAGGTTTTTGAAGAATGCTATCAGGATACTACTCCCTTTTCATATATGCCATAGTATTTGCATCTGTTTTTAGTAATAAAAAAAGTATAAATTACAATTTTTTCCAATAATTTTTTTATAAAAATGCTATTTTCATAACTCTCACTAAAACTTTTGTTATAGTAGTTATTAAATGTAAATACTTAGACCGCTAGCCACTGAACTGATCACTCGTTTATCTCATGCAGTCAACTTTTTTTAAAAAAAAACAGTAATAATTAGAAAGGTGACGAAAAGGTATTCGTGTACTATTCTCTTATGCTTTTTAAGTGTGTATCTTTATTAGATAAAGTCTTTCCTAACTTTTTTTTAATCTAAGTAAGTATGGCGTTAGGTACTTTAATTCCACTAGCTGTGCACTAATACCATAACGAAGATGGGTCTCACGCAATAAGTGATCTGCTACTCTTTGCAAGCCAGCCAAATACTATTCCCCAGTAGACTCAAGAGAAACCGCTATTACTATGTTAAGGCAAAGTAGTGCTACTACAACGTAAGCTAGGTAGTATAATTGCTAGCTTCGAACTTAAGTGTGAGGGGAGTCGTTATTCTTTTTTCTCGACAAGTCTTATTAGTTATCGTTGCTGCATTCTTTTTGGACCTTCCTCCCCGTTGATTTCTCCATCTTGCACGGAGTAGCCGTTCCGACGTTAACAAAAGCCTCGAGCTGTGGTGCTGTACCTCGTATTAACTAAATTTATTTTAAAATTCTTTAATTCACAGATTTTGGGTATGGAATCTTTTGGGTTTATTTGGTTTAAAGCCTTGACGTATAC